GGGGAATAATAGTACGGAGTAATTCAGGCGGAATTTTGGGAATACTCTCTTAGACCTGATTGTTGTCATTACTGGAAAAAGCTTTTGAGTAATAGAAAATGGTTCCAGGCAAGAAAATTACGCAGTGGAGAAGGGTTATAACTGGCTCATTGGTGATAGACCAAAAACTACCTGGGTGAAGCTGGCTTGGAACAAATAGAGTCTACCAAAACATCAATACATTATGTGGTTGATTGTCAAAGGTAGAATACAAACTAAGGAGAGAATTAATAAGTTCTTTCTAGTATATACTACTTGCTTGTTGTGTAAAAGTTAAGTGAAAGAGGTAAACCGTCTGTTCTGGAAAGTTAAAGAGGAGGTTCCCGGAAGGTTGGGAAGAAACTTATGCAAATTCCAAAGAGAAAAGAGAGGAGCGTACAAGCTGTGCTATTTGCTGCTGTGTGTTATAATGTTTGGAGAACAAGAAATTGCAAGCTTCATAAAGATGAAGAGCCACTGGTGACCACCTGCTATGAGAAGGCTATTTACAAGGCTGAGATCTTTTGGAAAGGCAAAGGTGTTGTATAATTCCTTGGGTTTTATGTTATATAGTTGAGTTGTATGTTGTGTATTTGGTGAGTGAAGGGATGGATGTTCTTCATGGTTGGTTTGATGAGATGTGCATTTGGTTTAAAAAAAAGTCAGGCGGAAGGAGACGGTAAGGCACTTACTAATTTTCAATTAGTTAGAGACTCTAACATCTAATGACATAATAGTGTATGCTATATAATGGGAATAAAATTGAGAATAAGTTGCAAAAAAACACTACCCAATTATATAAAAAAGTAAATACAATGAAGATTTAGGCAACATTATATGAGTGATGTTTTTTTAAACAAAAGGACATCATCATATTTAGAGGAATCTCACCAGTACTTAGAGACGAAGCATCTAGGATCAATGAATCGAAAGAACATCATGTTTTCGTGCTTCTGGCTAATCCCTTCCATTAGCTCCATTTCATGCCTTTTTAATGTTTCTATTCTTCAAGTGGGTCGGTGGACTAAGTTGTTCATCTCTCCAGTTCAAACACTTTATCAAAACAGTTTGCAATAGCACTAAAAGTAAGAAACACGTTTTAATACCTCATTACAACTCTATCAAAGAGGCGTCTTTGCTAAAACAACCCATGACGATTAAGTTGAATCTTCGACGTGTGTTAGCATGGTAAAAATTATAAATGTGAAATTAGATTCTACGAATATCTCAGCCATTAAGGCAGCCTGTCAACACAGCAATAGCCATCCTTGATGAATTAAAAACTCAAAAACTAATGTCAACAGTATTTCTAAGCAATCATATTACTTACAACTCTTTAAAAACACTCCTCACATCTTTAGTGATCTCTAGGGTTGGCACAATATCGTCTCACAGAAAGTTCCAATTGAAATAGATGGGAATTGCCAAGTTTGTTTCTTTTAGCTTGACTTGAAGTTTCATTTCATTTGGTAGGAACATGTGCCATTTGTTGTCATATGGTTCTGTAATATCACCATATATCTTCTCTTCACTACATACGTGCTTATAAGTTTTTAAAGCATTCCTCTTTGCAAAGTTTCAATTCCTTCCAGATCAGATTTTTCAAAATCTGGATCATCATAAACAGTGTGACTACAATAAATTTCTTACTTATCTCTCAAACTGGTATTAGAGAAGTACATACCCAAGTTTTTATTTTTCCACCATATGCTTATCTAAAAGAAGTATTCTCCACTCATGTTATTATTTATTTTAAAAATAATAAGTATCAAAATTGGCCCACCATATGCTCATCTAAAGATCTTTTTTTAGCATTGATAACTCTATTACAATTGTAGTATGTGTCCATACATACTTTCTCAACCTATTGAGAGCACCAAGAGTTATCACCTCCACTGGGGAGTGGGGATTGAACCTGTGACCTCCCATTTGGAAGAGTCACCTTGGTGCCATTAAACCATAAGGTCTTCGGCTATGCTTATCTAAAGATTTGTAAAACATCTAGTATGTATAGAATTATTATAGAACAGACCATATGCCTTTAATATGCATAAATGATTCATAACTTTTTGATTCAAACATTCAACAATTTTTTTATCGAAAACAATTCAAAATTAAATAGTACTCTGTTTCATTAATTTTAGTGTCATTTTTAGTGTTTTCAACAATGACGGAAAGAATGGATACACAGTGTGCTTACCTCACTTTGCAAGGACAGCTCTCGACAAACTAACCTGCAGGAACAAAAAGAAAAACAAATAAATAAAAACTTCTTATATTAAAAGAATTCTGCACCAAAGTTTCCACTAAATGCCAAGCCCATGAAACACCTTGACAGCCCAAAAACAAATCTCACCAAAAATTATATGCATCAGAATCTCCACTCTCGGGGAATGCCACACTCAAATAAACACATGTTTTTTGATCCAATATACCTGGAAACAAGGGTTCATTACTCAAGTTAATCACATCAAAAGACAGGCTCCACATGCATATACAATGATGAAAGTGTAGCGTGCCACACCTTAGTTTTATATATAGTGCAACTTGAAAGGCTTCAATCCAGAAAGTAAGAGACATGGATGCAGTGTGAAGAAGAGAGAGAGAGACCAGTTTCAATAATATGTTGATGGCAGCATTCAGTGGTACCATTGCATTCAGGAGTGTGCAGGGGAGTGGTAAAATGTTAGACACTAAAAGAACGGAGCATGGGTTTTGTTTTGCGAATTCACCACCATTATCAGAAAGAATATAGATGGTTGACATATGAGGTAAACCAATGAAGAGGATAGAATCGGGATGTATTTTTGTACAGTAGTCTACAAAAATAACATATGAAGTAAACCCATGAAGTGCTTTTGAGACCAACTCCACCCGTCGCTAAATAATAACTCAAGTGGCACACAACTAAATATTTCCAAAAAAAAGGACAATTTGTGACTTCTATGCTCTACGACAAGCTAAGTGTAAAGGTGGAAGAATTGAATAATAAGTAGTACATAGCAGAATGCAGTGAGGATCATCATAGTACCAGCCATTGATAAGACCTACAAAAAATCCTTTAGCTGCCATAATGTAAACGAGCATCACATTCATCCCAATCCATTCCAATGGGAGAACAGACGTCCAAGGTTGCCAACATCAACCTGCAAATAAAAAATTATACTCCCTCCTTCCCATAGACATCTTCCTTCTTTCCTTTTCCGTTCGTCGGTCCAAAAAAAACTTCACTCTACTTTTTTAGAATTTTAGGAAAAGAACAAATGGCCAGAAAAAAAAAATCTCTCTTCATATCAAATTCTAAGTACACCTTTTCACTTTTCAATACTTTTCTTTAACTCTATGAAAGTCAAATGTATAAGATCTTTAGGGACGGAGGAAGTAGTTGTTTTCCAACAGCCATAAAGGATAAAATATGATTGTAACGGCTTGCCAATATGTACAGGCCTGAGAATACTAATGCTGCTGCACTAGATGTCACACACACATAGCTGAAAGTGTAAAATTGCTTATTTAGATGAATTGCTGCAACCAAAGGATAAGGAGCTTGAAAAAAGAGAAACCATAATCTGATGACTTGATATTTTATGGCAATCTTTGGTTCACAAGAAAATACCCAAATATTTTAATTGCATTACCTAGTTCACATTACCTAGCATAGGATACCAACTCAAAAAGCTTCATTCGTCTCATCATAAACAATGTCTTAAGGAATAAGATGTGTGGGCCGGCGTGAGAATTAGCAGTCCAAAGATAGTACCAAAAAATAATATAAAAATGAGGGTAGCTCAAACCGTTGGAACACCAAATTATCTCCGTCCTCACAATACTTCTTCCTCCCCAAAAGCAAGTCGGGTTATCTTGAGAAAAAAATTGCGGGATGAAAGAGTGGGTTCATTTACAATATTTTTTTAATATATTTTCCCCCATCTGGTAATTTCCATGGCGACCCCTGATTCTCATCCTAACTTTTCATCCTTCTACGCTGACAAGATATTTGCCCCATGTGGCTTTCCACTTAGTTTAGATCTCTAAGCATATTGCAAACAATGTCATTCACAAGAACCATTGTGATTTGGGATTCCTTGGGGTAATTGACAAAATATGAACGATTAAAAATAAAAACAGCATGACATAAAGTGAGAATTAAATATTGAAAATAAGTAATGGGAATCACAATACAAGAACCGGTCCTTCATGCTTGAAATCAGTATCTAATTTTCCTCCTGAAAATTCCAAAGTAATATTTCAAAGGGAAAACATAATGATCACCAAAAAATCTGGGGAAAAAAGTGGCGAAGAGCACGTAGTCATCAGCGAACAGGTCATTCAGATGGAGTCATTTAGGTGGCACAACTTTCTTTGGTGCATCAGATAAGGTCACCAGGGATCGAAGAATGCTGGGGCTGATCCTGTCAGCAAGACCTCCTTTTTCCGATATGCAAAAGGACTTCTCCTTGATATAGCTCTGGAGTTTCTTTGCTTCACAATCTAGTTGGTTTTGATCTGCATCAGAGTCAAAAGTGATGGTGTCAGTTAAACTATTCCATGTTGTGGGCTTTCTACGGAGCTCAAGGATATGTTTGCATTGAGGAGTTTGGGAGGGCGGGTTTGGAGAGCTTGGTCTATATCTTGATATATTTATAAAATTGTTTATAAAAATTTACTGATTAACATAACATGGGTATATAGAGTTTCAGTATCCTTATATATTTTTAGAAACATTTAACTTATCAAGACTAAGCATCCAGAGCCCTTCCCTTCAAAACCCTCCATCCAATTCTAATCTGATTTAATGTGAGTAAAAAATTAGGTTTTGTAATGCAAAAGGAACTATATTACAGATTAGGTTTGGAGACATTTGAGCTGAACCATTTGGACCTCAATCCTTCATTTAATTTATCTATTTCATATTTTACCTAATGCATGTATATGTGCTTAGGGTGTTAGAACGCATATGTTGACTAACAAATCACAGCTTCAAGTCATCAAAAGGAGAAAGGATGAGTTCTAGCTAAGACACATTTTAGATGAAGAGCCAATAGGCCTCTAGGCCGCATAGGGTGAACCACCATCTTTACGAGCTCTACACTTGCTTATCTTTTCAATACAAATTGTCAGTTTTTTAATGCTTGTCATACTTCCAACCAGATTCCATAGCACTATGAATGTAATCAATTTCAAAACCATCTTAATCCAACCCAACTGGTGTGTTGTTACAACTCCTCCATTAAAACAAAGGCTACACGCCTCCAACCCCAGACCCTACTTTCCTGGGATCCAACTGGGTTGTTGTTGTTGCTCCATGCCTCCATCCATCATTAACAGATAAAAGTGTGCTTCAAGATGGTGTTTTTTTTAACTGTTTTACCTTTATAACTTATAAGTCTTCTTGATGAATTATATTGCTCTTACTACATCTAGTGCAAGACATCATTCAATATTTATGACATGGCACTGGTCAATAGACTTAAGAAAAATATCATGCATCCAGATCTTATGAACCAGAACAATCACAATGATTAGATTTAAATATTTAATACCAAGCTATAATTAGTTGATCCATACACATTCTTTTTATCGCGTGGATATGTAAAGTTGTAAAGACAGAAAAAGATCATATCCTAAATAGAGAACACAAACAACTTAGTCATAGGAAGAAACCTTGCTCCAGAATGGTATGAACAGCATGAAATGGAATACTAGCAAATACATCTGTTCCCGGAAACATAAGCCATTTTCTTTCGTTCACATCATGATTGCCACAAGTTGAACAAACTTCTCTCACCAATGGTCTTGACTCAACATCCCTCATGATTGACTCGAAAGGTGAAGCTATGCTGCTTTTTGATGTTTTGGCTCTCTTCCTTAATGCTGTCAATGCTTCCCTGTTTCCATTGCGTTCCTTGTCGTTTTCAACTAACTGCAATTACATTAGCAATTTCTCTTTCAAATAATTATGAATAGTAAAAAGATGCATGCCGCATAAGGCCATTTAGATTACCTGCTGTCGTGCCAGTAAAACATTCTCGCCCTCAATTTCTAGTTCAATTAAGTTCTCTTGTAAGTGATTCATCGGGGAATTCAGGTTACCACAAAAGGTATAACCTTCTACCTAACAAACAAATACCAATTTCAAAAATGAAAAACCAAATGCTTCAAAAGAGTTACAACTATCAACAACAACGAACCCAGTAAAATCCCACGCAAACTATGGTGGGGTGTGTGTACACAGACCATATCCCTATTCCATAGGCCTGGTCGTTTAAGGCGCAATGCGCGGCAATGCACAAAGGGGCTCTGGAGCCTTGATGCACGATGTGCATTGCATCACAAACACGAGGTGCATCAGGGTCGGTCCTGAGACTTCAATGGCCTGGGCCGAGACAGAAAAAACGGCCCTAAACACCTTATGCCTAATGACCTAATAAATTAAAGTATTTAAACTAATTATATTTAAATGACAACTAACGTAATAGTATTTAAAAATTCTAATAATTATTAAAAACAATACAAATTTTAAATTAAGACTAAATTTGAAATAGTGTAACCTTAAATCTAAAAAAATAATTTTTTCATATCAAATGAAGAACAAATTGAATCATCATTCATAGCAAAGATTATTAATTAAAAAAATAACAATTGACAATTAATCCTATATTTACTTAACAAAATAACAATTATATGAAAAATGAATATGAATTAACAAAATAACAATTAACCCTAGATTCAATTTTAATTTACTCCAAGAATGAAGAATGGATATGGATTATGAATACCTCAAAACTAAACTCCTAATCTTTTTGAATACTCTAAAGAAATCAAGAATGGATTACTCACATGAAAATTCTAAGAAAAAATAAAAGACTGATTTCCAACTATGAAATCACAAACGATTTAGGCTATAAAACAACAAGTTCAACTTTAAAAATACTCATCAAATATGCAGTATATCAAAACAACGTATGCAAAATAAACCAAATGCATAGAAAAATAAATGCAAAATAACTCAAATATTTCAGATTCAAACTTAAGGATAAAGACTTACCTCTTTGGATGCTATTTTTGGCGAATTATGGAGTTAAGGTCCGGAATCAGATTTGAGACGGCGGTGAAAGTAAAAGATTCGAGACAGGTGCGGTCATGGAGCGGAGCTGGTCCTTAATATTTTGAAAAATGCTAGGCTACACCAAAGTTTGCACCATATGTCCCCACCCCCTCCATCCCTCCATGTCCACTAAAAAAGTCAAAAAAAAATTAAAAAAAAAATGTAATAAAAATCAAATAAAAAAAAATGTAATCAAAAAAAAAAATCAAATAAAAATGTGTGGTGGAGAAGGGATGATGTACATTTGGGATACACCAAAATGGTGTACCCCTAGCATTGCTCTAATATTTTTTGTGAAAAAATGGAGTGGCTGTCCAGTGTTTTAGAGAATGAGCTCCAAAATCCTCACTGCTTTCGTTTTTAAATAGTGTACAGATGCCTCCTCTTGCCTATTTTTAGACATAAAATGACATTTCTGCTTGTTTTTCTCTATCTTCATTTTTCACTTTTTTATTTACATTCTTTGCTATACAAATAAATAAAATAAAATATGTGCCATCTTTCTCAAATTAAAACTTTTCATTTATTTAATTTTCAAAAAAATATTTTTTTAAGAAAATGTTATAAAAGAAAATGAAAAATTAAAAATGAAATAAAATACCTTTTTCATTATAAGTAAAAGTAAAATAAAAAATAAAAAATTAGATAACATATACTCACTCTATTTCTAATTAAAAATTCTAACTTATTTGTTTTTTAAAAGTAAAATAAGTTTTTAAGGATTTTAAAAAATGAAGAACAGAAAGATGAAATAAAATACAGAGTTAAAGAAAAAGATTGTTTTTTGTATTTTTCTTTCTTTTCATTACCTTTTTTCAATTATTATTTTTAATTTGTAAATGATATTTTATTTTTCATTTTCTTTTGTAACATTCTCCAAAATAATATTTTTTTTTCAAAAATACATTATGGAAATTTTTAATTTGAGATTGGAAGCATATATTTTATTTTATATATTTGTATAATAAAGGAAAATAACATTGGGAAAATTTAAGATCGAGGAAAAGAACAAGCATAAATGTCATTTTTGTTTTAAAAATAGGTAAGGGGGCATGTGTGCTCTATTTAGAAACCATATGGACTTCACAAATAACTTTTGAAAAGATAAGAGGCTTTGACGCTTTTTTATAAACTACGAGAGGCACCCATGCTATTTGCCCAAAGAATGGATCATCCAGTTCGTTTTTTCCAAAAAATTAGGTTGCTTTCTGTAACACCTTAATCCGTCCAGGTCTACAACCCCTTTCAGACTAAAACATAAACTTGGCATTCGTAAACATTCAAAATATTTCAAATATTTTAAAACTTTATTCAATAATAAAATATCCAAGATAATAACGGAGTAGTTTAATGTTGCGGAAGCTGAATATATAACATTTACAAAATATAATAATTTTATGTCTTTTAAAACATCAATTCATTTCACATATCCACCTCGACCATCTCGTTCCCGTCTGCCTCCTAGAATCATCACTTCATTCATTTTGTTTGCCTGCGTGTAGCAAATAAAACATACTACACGCTCAGCGGTGAAGCTGAGTAAGCATATCTAAAGCATCGAACATCCACATAAATTGATTCTCAATTCACAAACAACCATTTGATAACATGCACATGATATATGATTCATTCAAGATATTCTCAATATTTTTATTTCAATATTTCAACATTCAATATTCATATTCAATATTCAATATTCATCAATATCCTTAAACTATGCTTAGTCTAAGGCCAATCTTTTTTTATGTTTACCAACTCTTAAACTAATTCTAGCTCAAGGTACTTCTATCCAACTCTTAAGCTAGATCATTAGTTTAAGGTACATATATTCCGATTGATTTACGAACTCTTAAACTAGCCTTCGCTTAAGGTACAAATCCAGAAACCGAACAATAGAATACTAACTATCGGGTTGGGTGGTATCCCCAAACGAGTTCCTCTAGTTTGGTTTATGGATCCCGTACGTACGTTTTTACCCAAGGCCACCGAATATACATAATTATACCCGCGAGGCTCATTCTAATTTGAAGTCTATCTTAGAGGTTTTCTAGATAACCTTAACAATACAACTCATTTTTCATCAATCCATTTATTTTGATTCTGGTTCAATACTTCATCATCGTCATTTTATTTTATAATAATCCTCATCATTAATCCATAATAGTCATACATCATAATCATCAATTAACATAACATTCAAAGCAATAACAATTAGCGACATAGTTTCGAGTGTTAACACTTTAGCTTACCGTCATGCATCAAATAACATATTAGGAATAATCAAAATATTATATTTACTTTAAAAATGGTTTCATTTTTGTCTTGAAGTGGAAAAATATCATGATAGCATTTTCTGGAGTTAATTTCCGAACATAAAGATTTTGGACAGGCTAAAATGGCATGTGGCGGTACCATCCTACTGTCTCACGGTAGTGCATTACCGTCGCACGGTAGTGCATTACCGATACTGCGTGGTGCATTCGAAACAGGAACAGTACTACGTCTTCCACCTCGGTTCATGCTTCGTAAATATCATTTTCAGCTACCAAACTTCAATTAAACTATATAGAAATGTTTTTCAAGGTTCATAGATCATTTTGGTATTATTAATTCACAGTTTAACATCAAATTAAAGATTTATGATTCTTAGTTCTTCAAGCATGTTAAACACAAAACTCAACCAAATGACCGTTTATGAACGTAGAAACGACCTATATAAACATTCTAATCATTAGATATATCTACGAGCTTACCTTGAAGTTTAACGAAGATTCCGGTGAAAGAACGATGAAACTTCCAGCGACAAAAGCTCTCAACTCCGGCGACCTCTCACGAAATTGAAAGCACCAGTGTGTTCTCTTCTCTTAGGGCAGCAGAATAGAAGGAAATTTGGGATGATTTGGTGGAGAATTGAGAGAGTTAGGGTTTTTTAAATAGAGGAAGGAAGAAGAAGACATTGATGAAATATTCCTGAATCAACAAAGTCGGCTAGTGCGCCCATTAAACAGTAGCCGCCGATTGGAGTGTAGTCCCTAATTGGGACTAACTTCTGGCCCTAGTCGGGGTACACTTTTTGGTCCAACTTTTTCCGAATTTAAATTCGATTGAACCGCTGCGGTCAGACAGTCAAACTCTACACAACGATATAATTTTTATTATTTATTGACAAACTTTCATAAATCATTTATTTTTGGGTCCTTCTCAGTAATTAATTAATTATCAATTAATTAATTCTGATAGGCCCAATTTCGGGGCGTTACACTTTCCGTTTGGCTGATCTGATCTAATTTTTTGAAATTTTGATCTAATCTAATTGGATCTAATCAGATCCGATTGAATCTCGTCTGATGTGTTCTTATTGGAACTGATATAAATTCGATTTAAATTAAAATTAAAATTAAAATTATTATTATAATAGTTACAATAATAATAATAATAGAAATATTAATATAATAATAATAAATATAATTGATGGATTAGGGATTTTACCTAATCCAATATTATTTTAACATTAAAGTAAGCTCAATTCAATCCGGTCCAAAGGATATAATTTGATTAAATATATGAATATTAACTAGGGCCCCAAGGATATATTTGGTGGGACATAGACATAATGCTTTAAAAGGAGAGAGTACGAAGGAGTAAGGAGAGACTAATTTTCTACATAAAGAAAGCTCCTACTACTAGTCTTCATTCTTCTTCTTCTTTAAGCTTGGATCTCCATTAATGGCTCCAAGCTCATACTATACAATGATATATATGTATATTCCCTCGAGATTAATAAAACTTCCTTCCCTTGGCATGGCACTGCCTAAAAAGGCTCATGGTTTTCTCCCGATTTGGGTTTCCACATATAAATAATTTCTCTCCGCTTTATTTATTTATTTATTTTCTGGATTTCGTTATTCGATGCGGTGCCAACCCGGTATCATTTTCGTCGGGTCGACGCCCCGAAAAAGTGGTTTCCATCAATAATAATAATAATAAATAAAATAATAATAGTAGTAATAATAAGTTATATTACTGATAATAATAGTAATAATAATAAATATAGTAATATTAATAACAATAGTAATAATAATTATGATCGTAATAATAATAATAATAGTAATAATAATAATAACATTAATAATAATAATAATGGTAGTAATAATAATTATAATCATAATAATAGTAGTAATAGTAGTAGTAGTAATAATAATAGTAATAGTAATCATAATAATATTAATAGTAATAATTATAATAGTAATAATAATAACAACAGTTGTAATAATCCTAATAGCAACAATAATAATAATTTTGTTTAGACCTGGTCTGATTGGATCCAATATAATCTGATCTGGTTGGATCTAATCTAATTAGATCTGATCTAGTCAAATTTGATTTTAATAAGAATAAGTAGAAAAAATAAGTTTAACGGAACACACACTTATACATCCTTCATTCAAAAAAAAGTTCCCAAATGTCTTTTTCTTTGTCCAAAAAAGATCTTTTCATCATATTTTTTTAAAATTTAAAATATTGCATCTACTTTTACTCTCATTTACTTTATTTATTACATATCACCAATCTCATTCAACATATCCCATCCAATTTAACACATAAAAACCAAATTTAGATAAAAGAGAATCAATCTTTATCGCTACTTGAAACTTTGAGAGTTCTTATACCAAGTATTATGAATCTGAATGTACATAACATGTTCCTCTATTTTTGAAAAAGTTGACACTTCGATATCACGAAAAATTAAGAAGAGTATAGAAAACATGGGAAGAAGTGAAAGGGTTGGTTAAATTTTATTTGAAAGAGAGAGAATCAATAATATCCACATTTCGTTTTAAAAAAAGAAAGTGAAGAAATGTAAGTTGATTTTAAACATAATAAAGGATAGTGTAAAGTTGTTTCAAAGACAGAAAGAGTATTCTATATTCATCATATACACATTTACAAGTTACGCAATGTTGATTTTGCATATCTATTTTAATCAATATAATCATTAAAATAAAAAGAATATGGAAAATGTACATAAATATTTTTGAAGTCAATATTAGAAGGATTTAAAAGGTATTGAAAGAAAATGGAAATTAAAAGAAATTGAAAGAGACTTAATGTGTGTATGTGGGTGCATGTGTGTGTGTCTATATACATACACACACACACATATATAAGAGTTAAAATACTTAAAATATGACCTAAAACCTTTTATTTTTAAACATGAAATATGGGGCGAGTTGGACTTGAAATTGGTATCTTCAAGTAAAGTTGCTCTTCAAAGGGCCTAAAATAAAAAGTGTGTTATTGAGTGTTACAAAACCCATTTAACTTCTACAAAAAAAATATCTACATTCATTAATAAAAAAACCAAATAAACTAATAACTACTTCCTCCGTCCCACTATATTCGTTCACTTTTCCCATTTAGACCGTCACAATGTATTTGTTTAGAGATTCCATCGTATATAGAGTGCATATTTATTACAACCACAATATATTTCTTCAATATATACATTGCAACACACACACACACACACACACAAAAGGCTTTAGCAGGACTGGAAGAATTGGGATATGGAGTTGTATATACATAAAATCTAAAGTTTCCAGTAAATGCCAAACCAATGAAACACCCCAGCAATGACAGCCCAGAAACATATCTCACCAAAGATTACATACATCAGAATCCCCACTCTAGTTGAATGCCACACTCCAATAAACACATGCTTCTTGATCCAATATACCTGCAAACATGGCTTCATTATGAGCAATTTAATCGCATCAAAATCGAGATGATTGACGTTTTAAAAAAAAACTTCTCAACCAATGCTTCAAAGTTGAGATTTTTCTTAGTAACGTCGGATTTTTTTGGTGATTTTTTTGGTGATTTTTGAGGAAATAACATATGAGGTAAACTCGTGAAGTGATTTTTGAGACCAACTCCACACGTCGCTATATAATAACTCAAGTGGCGCAAAACTAACAACAATATCCCCCCCCCTCCCCCAAAAAAACAATTTGTGACTTTTGTGTATACAACAAGCTAACACTATGTTTGGTTCAAGAAATTTGGAAGGAAAAGAAAAGAAAATTCTCTCTTATTTTCCTCGCCAAAATGGGAGGAATTTGGTTTTCCTTCCTCTTATTACATTTTGCCTCATTTTCTTTTCCTTCCATTTTTCTTTTCTTTTCCTCTCTAAACAAACAAGGAAAACGGTTTCCGTCTCATTTTCTTTTCTTTTCCCTTTCAAAATCCTCGAACCAAACATAGTGCAAATGTAAAGGTGGAAGAGTTGAATGAAACATACCAGAGTGTTGTGAGGATCATCATAGTACCAACCATTGATAAAACCTGCGAAAATTCCTTCAGCTGCCATAACGTAAACGAGCATCGCATTCATCCCAATCCATTCCAGTGGTAGAACCAGACGTCCGAGGTTGCCAACATCAACCTGCACATAAAACAACTATAGCTGTTTTCCGAAAAACCTTAGCTATGACTATGAAAGAGGGACAGAATATGATTGTAACGGCTTGCCAGAATGTACAAGGCCGAGAATACTAATGATGCTGCACCAGATGTCACGCACACATAGCTGAAAGTGTACAATTGCTTATTTAGAGGAATTGCTGCAACCAAAGAATAAGGATGGAGGTTGAAGAAATCGAAACCGCAATTGGAAGACTTGAAGTTTTATTAGGGCAGTGTTTGGTACACGAGAAATGGTTTTTGAGTAAACCCATTTTCTTGTTTTTTCAGTGTTCGGTAGATGATAAAGAGGAAACCATTTTCAGTTCAACACCCCCTTGAAAAGATGTGGTTTGTCCATGGAAAATGTAAAGGAAAATTTATTTTCTCTGGGAAAACCTTTTTCTTCCACGGGCTTGAAAACGAATTTCCTCGTTACCAAACACTGCCTAAATGCTTTTGCACTGCATCATACCATCTGTGAAGTGAAGGGTGATTCCAAAAATCAGAAAAATAAGTCCAGTGACAATCCAATGCAGAAGCCGAGAAGAATGGTCCTGACAGTTTAAATTCAAGATCAAAGTCATTGTGATGATAAAGACGCCGAAACGTGCAATTACACATGGCAACCATTGATCTAACCTTGAAATGGATAAGAACATGTCCGAAATGAACTCCAATAACAGTGGAGAGGATAGCAGAAATTGAGCTGTATTCATAAACAAATATGTAAATCCAGTGTTACTATACATGGTCAAAGTATATCATTTTTCCTCTCATTTTACTCGATTGTTGAAATAACATAGCCATGTGATCATGTCACCTCTTGTTTTATAAAACTTTTGATGTAATCTTTAAATATATAAATTTTATTTTTTGGATTTTACACCAATAATTAAATAAATTGAATTGAAAATAACTTTGTCCAGACATCATAAACCGAAACACGATGAAAACTATGGAAGGAGTACTACTTTTATAAGAACAATCTAACTATAGTACGACTTGACGGAACATTTTATCCTACTCCCTCACCTTAGTACTCCTTCTGGGTCAAATGGAGCCCAACACCAAGAGGGTGCATCACTTCTGAACGGGCCCTCATGCGGAGAGCTCTTCGTGCAAGCCTACAATGGCTTCAGATCAGAAGCCGTACTTCAAGAAAAACAAGAAGAAGAAAGGAAAATAAAAATCACCTTTGATCTCTTCCAAGCTGGATGTGGGTACATGTGATTGATTCCCAGCACTTTTCTGTCGATATAACCCACTGCATTACAAGGAGGGTCCAGTTTCCCTCGTACATTGCAAGATACCTAAGAAGCCAAAGCAAACATCTTTATTACGTAGTATTAGTTAAAGAACAAAACAACAAATTTTCTCAAGATTTGTTGTTTCTTTTTTTTTAAGGAGAAACTCACAGTTAATGTTTTCCCAAAGTAGGGACTGTTTGTATTTTTCACAACAAATTGCCAGTCGGGAACATAAGTTCCATACAATGTGGCCAAGTAAACTACTAAAACGCAAGCTCCAAATGCCCTGCAGATCCCGCGGACTATATCATCAAAAATGGTTCTGAAAATCTTATGCTAAAGATACCATTCACAATCAATATAATACGTTTGCAAAGTGACACTCACCAGTGTCGATAGTATACTTTGAAAATGGAAAATGGTCCCCGAGATAGAATCTTAGCTTGTGTCTTTTTCATTGAGATCTCTATCATGGCTACCACGAAATACGCAAGAGCAATCCTCTAGAGAAATGAGATTAAAAGGAAATCCTCATCACTAGTCACTATGCATATAAAGAATCGGGATTTCATGTTAAATGGTCATATTTTTATAGGCTAATGTGTAATGTGGGATGACTTCACATGTATTGCTAGCTCATTGGAACAGATCTTTCTTGAAAACCATTTAGTATAACATATTATTAATTCTCAGCGTTCCATCCTAAAAGTTACACGAGGAATAAATGTTCTATACATTTGTTTAGTTTTAATGAAATTCTACCCATGTAGGATGGTTTAACAGGACACACATAAGAAAGAACAACAACAACAAACCTAGTAAGATCNGTGAGAGGGGGGGGGTACGCAAGCCTTACCCCTACTCAGAAGTAGAGAAGCTATTTCCAAGATATCCAACTTAAACACAAACGTGCAGGACAAAACACAAAGAGAAAAGATACAATAATAATAATAATAATAATAATATTGATAATAATAATAATAATATTATTACATTACCTGGAGAATGCCACACCACCTTATTCTCTTCATGTCCACACCATAGGTCAGTTTATCTGGGGCATGTGAATAGCCTCCTTCACATTTGAAAGAGAAAAAAAATAAAGACTTGATACTAGAAATGCAACCGTTTTAAGTATTTCCTGAAACATGTTGTATAATCTGCTCTAAACAATAAAATCGATAACTTGTTTTCTATAGGTTATACATAAAGTACTAACACTAACCTTGTAAAAGAAGTCCCCAAAAAACAAGCTTGAGTGCCCTTAAGATCACCTTTCTGATAGCCACAACTTTTTTGGGTATTCTCTACATATTAATTACAAGGCAAAATAATAAATGTTACAGTAGCACGGTTGTCGTCTGTGGTGTCAAAGTTGGTGTTATTCTCGCACGGACCGTGAAGGAAAAGAGCTAATAATCCTAAAGTTAAAGTAGCAAATGGGGGATTTGAATGAATGAATGAATGAAATTGAGAGATGAAACCTTGAGTGAAAGTGAAATAGCCATTCCCACAATGAAGAGAAAGAATGGCATCACAAAATCAGCAAGATTGCATCCATTCCAAGGCGCGTGCCCTATCACCGGCCACTCTCCCCCCGCGTCATCAACCAACACCATCAACTGCTCACTAAAGTCCACAATCAGACTACAAATCTCTGAATTTTTACCACAGTATGTCAGTAACTATAAATTCTGTCTAATATCATAAGATAATTTCAACCAAAAACTCAAACTTGTAGTTGGAGACCCAAATATTTATTACTCCCTCCGTACCTTTGGGTTCTTGAAAGAGAAAATATCATAGAGTTGAGTTGTGTTTCTGTGGTCCTAAGGTCCACATATGAAATATGGACCGTCTCACACTTTTCGTTGGTTTACATGTAGATTTTTTCTTTTTCGTAAAAGGTCCATAAAATGAATGTGAACCTAAGAATCACATAAAAATTTGCCCATAGTAGTAGGAAGTTTTAGGTAAATGTAAGAATATTGTTTACTTTGTATATTTGCTCTTGATAGTACATTTATTAAATTAGGGTGGGATATTTGAGATTATGTGAATGGTGTACAAAAGGGTAAAATAAACCTTTTATAACATTACAACAACAACAACAACTCAGTTGGATCCTAGGGAGGGTGTGTGTACACAGACCGTGCCCCTACCCAAAAGTAGAAAGGCTTTTTCCATGAGACCCCCAGCTCAAGCTGCACATTAAAAGATCACAATAGATACACAAAACAAGGAAAGCACAGCTACAAGCCCACAACGCAATAAAGCACCAAGCACACAAAATTAAAACTAAACTATCTTAAATAAAGTTACGAAACGAGAGTATTGCAAGGAAAAAGCAAAAAGCACTATGCATAAAAGTCCTACAAAGCACACAACAACAACATCCCCTAACGCAAGGTACCTACCCATCTATTCTAATCCTATCTCTCCAAATGTTCCTATCTAAGGCCATATCCTCAGTAAAAGCAAAATGTTCTAAGTCCTGTCTAATCACCTCCTTCCATCTCTTCTTAGGTCTACCGCTTCCCCTACTAGTCTACTACCCCCTACCAACGTAAACGTCTCACGTCAGCATCCTGCCGTCTCACACGACCGAACCACCTCAACCTAGCCTCCCGAATCTTATCTTCTACTAGCGTCATGCCTAACCGACCTCGAATAACTTCGTTCGGAATCCTATCCGGCCTCATCTGCCCACATATCCACCGCAACATCCGCATCTCTATCGCATGCACGCTGCACGTGAATCTTCTTAACTGGCCACCACTCTCCCCCATAGAGCATTCCTGATCTCACTACAACCATGCGAATCTTCTTTTTATAACATTAATAATGCTAAATTTTCACTTCTTTTTTGTTTTGTAAAACTTTTGATATAATTGTGAACATCAGTTTTATTCAAACTCGCGAGGACTGGACTCGGATATCACGTCAAAGAACCAATTCAACCAAAGCGAAAAGAAAGCATATATACTCTAACAGTCTTCAAATATGTTTATTATTATCATAGCAAAATACTGCATACATACCGCTACAGTAAGACCTCGGAAGACATCCAGAGAAGCCACACGCTTTGCCTTCTGAGAATGTTTTTCCGGCAGTTCGAGGACAACCTCTTCTTCTTCCTCTTCTCTGATATCACCCATCACTAAGATAAGATAAGAGTTTTGAGATTATTATACTCTGGTTCGAAAGTGGAGCACAAATGGTGTCTGTTGTTGATTACAAGACAAAATATATGCCTGAGTGTTAGTGCTGAACTGTTATAGATCTCCAACCATGCTTGCTATATTAAATTGTTATTGTTAAATTTTAGCTAGTGAATAGTAATATAGCAAGTAGGTAAGTGCTGAACCAGTAGGGGTGAGCAAAATAACCGGACCGACCGTGAAACCGAAAATCGAAAACCGAAATAACCGAGTTTTCGGTTTCGGTTACCTATTCTCATATTTTCGGTTTTTCGGTTAGTCCGGTCGGTTTTCGGTTCTTTAATTCGGTTAGTTCGGTTAAACGAATAACCGAAATCCATATTCACCCCTAATGTTTATTAAACTAATATTACCAATTTTTAAGTCCAAATAAGTGAATTAAGCTCAAATATGTCATTTTAATCATTATTCCTTCTATACCCAAAATACCTATTTTTCCATATTCATCCTTTTGTTCCTCTTTTTTTAATTAATACTTGGTTCTGTTTTTTATTAATTATTTTACAAATTAAATTGTTAAATAAATTTTTTACTAATAAAATCTACCTTTAGTAAATATTAATTTTTTATAACTTAAATCTGTACATATTTAAAAATAGATGTCTTAAATATGTGTTTTGCATTTTTTGTAATTATAGTTTACTTTTATTTTTTATTATTTCATAATTAGATTAAAATTCAAGGTCGGTTCGGTTATTTCTGGTTTCGGTTCAGTTATTGTCGGTTTCGGTTAATTCGGGTTTAATCCAAGGTCGGTTCGGTTCGGTCGGTTATTTTGAATAATAAATTTTTTCGTTAGTTCGGTTTTGGGCCGAAACCGACCGAACCGACCCGATGCTCACCCCTATGAACCAGTAAGAGATTTGAACCATTAAGTACTGAATCTGTAAGAGGTCTGAACCATTAAGAGCTAGTATATTGCTTAACTATTCAGAGGCAAATGTCTGATCAATTCAGATAAGAGGTCTTAACCATTCAGACTATGTATAATACTTAACCATATTCAGAGGCAAATCTCTTAACCATTCAGACATCTGAACCATTAAGAGGCTGAAACAAATAGTCTGAACCATTAAGTGCTGAACCATTCAGACATCTGAACCATTAAGAGGCTGAAACAAATAGTCTGAACCATTAAGTGCTGAACCATTCAGACATCTGAACCATTAAGAGGATGAAAGAAACAGCCCCTTAGACTTGTATTTGTCTAACTTTACTTTTTTTAATCAAATAGAACAAATTTTGAGCTTTAACTATTCTCAATTTATATTGAGAAATGAAATAAAATTGTGAAAGATTTTAATAAAATATATCTAATAAAGTCATTTTAATACAAATATGCATTACATCTTTTATTGAATTGAAGCTCAGAATTCATTTAGTTTGATTCGAAAAATTCAGACTAGACAAATACGCTGAGATAGAGTTAGTACGATTATATGAAAGTTAAGAAAAGTTTTTAAAATTTAAAAGTAAAGAGTTGAATTGTTTATCACGGAAAGAGTGGTAGAACATGAATTCTTTTTTTATATTACGGAGTAGAAAAGTAAAGAGTAGAAAAAAGTTTAAAGAGTCATTGAGGATAGAAGCAATATTAGATAAGTCTTAGGCAGATATTAGGGCACTGGAAATACCCATGAAGCCATGGGGCTTCAAACCGCGGCTTCAAACCTTCTCACTCTGTCACGTCAGCTTTAACTTATCTCACAGTTTCGGGTTTGAAGCTCCAAGGGCTTCAAACTTTCATTTTTTATATTTTAAATACGCATCTTATAAAATTAGATTAATAAAATTTAAATATTTAATTATTCAAAAGAATTGAAACGAGAACAGTTCATTAAAAAAATACATTCATTATTAAAAATTGCATTCATTAAATAAAAAAATTACATTCATTAAATAAAAAAAATTACATTCATTAAATAAAAAAATTACATTCATGAAAAAATAAAAAATACTTGAATAATAATTTTTAAAAAAAGATGGTAGAGAGAAATCTATATTTTTGTTGAATTTTAAAAAAATAGTTTAATTTATAGAGAAGAAAAGAGGAAAAAAAGAGGGAAAAAAAGAAAGAAGAAGGCATTATAACGCCTTCAAATTTGACGCATGAGTTTTAATGCACCTATAACGGGGCAGGGGGCGGTGTTTAACGCCCCCAGACGTCAAAAGGCTAATAACGTCGCTCAGCGTTACAGGAATTACCACTAGTCTTAGTGAGCATTTCCAGCTTTATATCTAGGATATTTGGACTATTCATCATTTTTTTACTAAATATGAAAAAATAAGTAGTTTCGAACAAACGAAAATAAGAAAATGGATGATTAAATTCAGGTAGAGAAGGTATTATACAATTGGGTGTACTATGTACATACATTCACGATCATTAACGAAATAGTGGATGAATGTCGCCTCCTAATTTTTACAATAAAAAGTAAAGTTCTTTTGAAAATGCAGAGACCTGCAAGTTATTTCAACGAAACGCACGTCACCCAAAAGTACATTTTTGAATATTTTAAATTGAAATTCATTTAGATGCAAGAGATTGTATAAATCACATGTTTATTTTGAAAAATGAAATAAATTAAGTGTGATTTTTTTACTACCTCCATCCCATTTTAAATCACCAATTTTGACTTTGAGAAAATATTTAAAGAAGAGAAAGATAGAATTGACTTTTTAAAATTGTCATTACTTTTTAAAGAGTGGCAATGAATGAGAAAATAAGGTGGAGAAGAGAAATTTATTTTAAGAATAGTTTAAATATTTTACTTTTAAATGTTTACGATAACAAAAAATAAACAACTTATTTTGGGACGAAAAAAAAAGAAAACAAGCAATTTAAAATGAGACATAAGTAACATTCAAAAGGGAAAATTAGAAAGAAAAAAAATCTAATAAACGGAGTGTTTAACAATATAGTATTACTCGAAACAACGCTTACTTAATTTAGTCTTCAAGTGTTTTCTTGTCAAGAATGCACATTTTAGCGTGTGGAATACTTATTTTGCTTTCAATGAATGTGTATATCCAAACATTGAATGTACGCTACACGAGGTAAATTCGGACGTGTAATCCATGAGTTGAAAAATGGGCATGCAAAAATAATCTATGAAGGATCAACATGAAACCACAAAAAACCACACTTGTTAACAAAAAAAACTAAAAACACAAAATTAATCTTATAAGTAATAAAATAAACTTACAAAAACACAACGTCTTACCATTAGAGAATGGTAGTTACATTTCATCCCACTGGCAATTAATTAATATAGAGGAAGGAATAATAACACTTCCAATTGATGACCCTCCAACAAATCAGGAAGGACAATAAGGGAGAGATATTTTGTTTCTTGAACTCACATTTGCCCTCTTTCAAGTGCTTTTCGATATTCCCCTTCTGGGAAATATTAGCCACGCCCACGACCTCCAACTGTTGCACAAAATAAGCGCAATTATTTATTACCAAAAACAATGTCATATGCTGTATGTGTGCATGCGTGTGACCGGGCACATGTATTCAGTAAAAATATAGTGGTTGAAATTTATGCAGAAGAAAATTATATGAGACATCATGTATACTTGTTTCATAGAAAAACAAAATTTCGGAACAAACAAACTAGAGGAAACATATTTTTTTGGAAAAGAGGGAGTAATATAGAGTTAGCTCTCAAAGCAATTGCCTTCTAAGAATACTAGAGGGTTATTGACATAATGGGGAGATGGCTTTTGATTGAGTCCATTTTCAAATCCAAGGATATATGAAGCATAAGATTGATTGAATTAAAAGATTTTCCACTTATGGTCTGACCTGTAAGGAAATTCCCACCATTGGAAGGATATCCATAGCCATGCACCAAAAATGCAAGGAAAAAAATAAAGTTACGAACCAAGAGTGGGAATGACCTTATAGTCATGGGAGCAAAGGTGGAATTTTTTTTTCTTTTTTGAATGAATTTCATACCTTTGCCACCAGGCTTACCACCAGGGCCTCCTTTTCCACGGCCTTTGGCAGCTCCATCATCCATCCCACGCCCAACTCCTCTTCCCTGTCTTCCAGCAACATTATCCTCTCTACCTCTGCCCCGGCCACGCCCTACACCAGGTGGTTTCCTGTCTGTGAAAGCATATAAACCAACCAAAAAAAGAAAGTCAATTAGAAGAGTTCAACAAAAGATTTGTAAAGAAATCATTCAGGAAGTATAACTCATAAAATACTTCAAGTCAACACTTTTATGTGAAATTTAATGCACACAGTTAATAGGAGTACAGCCATAATATAGACTATCTATGCTTCTGAGAACTAAGACAAACCCCACACAGAAATGTCCAAAAACAGACTACCCTTTTCATTTTGTTGCACATCCCTGTATCATGTTCACTCATATCACTAGTTGTCTTGTCAAGGAAAATACATATACATATCACTATTCTTCAGCATGGTGGGTAACACCTTAAATTTCTCCCTCAGGTTTTATTAGGGTTCTCATTCTCGGGTTTTCTATTAATGCGACTTTAAGGTTTATTGTTCATGCTCTGGAAACCTGTGTAAATACTAATATGCCAAGTTTAAACTATGATAATGTGTCTCATTCTTCTCGTCCCTACTATAATTTTCACATTTTTTTAATTGAAAGCTTCTTCAATTAGTAATTCAATGGAATTTAATAATATATAATCACTTTAACTTTTAACATTTCAATAAATGCAAACATTGTCGATTTGTTAGTGTCGCATGTGTGTGTAGGTTCATGTGTGCACGCACATGAGCGCACCTTAAGAAGAGCCTTTCTAACTCTTTTCACACACTGAGTGTTCATGAAAGTGACTTCCTAAATTTATATATTTTTATGAGCTAACTAACAGTCGACACTCTTGGGAACATGACATGTCTTAATTTATTCTTTAATGAAGTTCAATACGTCATACTAACTTGCATAGTTGCATACATGCATTTGTTTACTAATCCTGTTCAGATTCATGGTTTACTTTAAGATTATTTTTGTACAGTGATAAG